GAGGGGGTGGGGGCAAAAAGTGCAGGCGAAAGCAGACGACAGAACATTGCTAGAGAGCAGGAAAGGAGGTGAAAGTAGACAATTTAAAGAAGAAAAATTTCCGTCGCTCTCCAGATTCGAACCCGGGACCTATTGAGTGAGAGGCAAACACCTTAACCTCTAGGCCACGAGAGCGCCCTCCTTCCCTTTTGACATGTGTGGGAGTAAAAAAAATAAGACGTTTAAAAAAGAGAGTGGGAGAAGGATAGGGAGAGAGTGGAAGAGAAAGACGGAGAGGTGGAGAAAGAGCGATGGAAAGAGAGATGGAGAGAGAGAGAGAGAGAGAGACGGAGAGACAGACATCGAGACAGGGGAGAGGGAAGAGAGAGAGAGAGAAAAGTAACACGCCCAATGTCCGACAGATTTAATATACAAACTTACAAATAAAATGACAGCTTTTTTGTATCTTTCAATAGAACAATTTTTGGACCTCATCTTAGATCTATATATAATTATCAATTTTAAAGCCATCAGTAGAAGACCTGCATCGCTGAACAGGAGATTTAAGAATGTGCGCCTTAGACTGTCAAGAATAGCGTCGAAGTCAAGGAGAGTATAAAACCCGAATCATAATTACGCTTGACTATCGTGAGAAAGCACATTTCCCTTATCTACCCGAAGCACGTATATTATCTCCTCATTCTGTGGTCACGGGAGATAGCAGTTATCCTCTCAGAGCAGGTACATACATCTCGTTAATTAACAGCTACCCTACAGATACCGAGCTATTTCTGCCTGGTCCTTGCATGAATAATCGAAACACTCAACACACACCCCGTGAGCTGGCTCCTTGTGTGTGCCAGAGCGATCTTGTTGCTGGGTGGGGAAACTTTGGGGGATGGTTGAGCTAATCTTTTTTGTTTTCATTTTGCTAAAGATTATTTTGATTTATTTAGTTGGGGAGGGTTGGATGGCGGAAAAGCGCGGAGGGGGGGGGGGTGGTTAGAGAGCGAACACAAGAGTACGTTATGATTGTTTTCGTTTGCATAACACTAATTACTGATTTGAAAAGTGCTCGAAACATTTTCCTGGCAATCTTTGAAATATAAGAGAAGGGGTTTTTGCCTTCTTTTTATCTCTTGTATTTTTCTTCTTAACATACTTCGGGTGGAGATTCCAACATCTATGGATAGATAGAAGAGAAACACTGTTCCTAAAGCTAAAACCAATCTTTTCTAAGCTTATCTAATCAATTAAGAAAAACAAAACGAAACAAAAAACACCAATAGCGAGTCTACACGGAAGTTCCTGGAAGTGTAATCAAAGAGAGCCCGGAAAAAGAATCTGTTTTAATCATAGAATTAAAAAGGCGACAGAAGGCACGATGATGTCAAACGCCAATTACATTTTCTAACGCAAAAATATGGCTTGCGTGTTTGTTACTTTTAATCCAATCAATCTGTTACGTGTATTTATGTGCAATTATGGAGAGTAGTGGTTTATATTTTATAGGAATGTGCCATTAGTGGAATTAATTGAATTGTAGGCAGGTCAGATATTCACTTTTTCTTTACTTTTTACTTATTCCTTTCTCAGGTATCCTTAAGATGTCGAGGGGAAGTGTAGGTTTCGGTCCTGTACTAAGTATGTGGCGTCTGGGATAGATCTGTATGTTGTCCAGAACCTTTTAACAACATAAAATATATATCACAGCAGGTCAGTTACGACAATATGATTATTTGTATTTACTGAAAGACCATTATGTATACAATATTTGTATATATTGTATGATATGTATTACTTTTTTTCTTCAATGTTTTCGTGTATTGATGTGTTAACAAAGTATTGTTATGTCTACAATGTATGCATGTTTTGTTGTTGCCCTACCAGTTTAAAAAAAATGAATTTGTATTTACATGTCTTCCAATACAGCGTATAATTCAGTTTCAAGAAAGATTAAAGTCTAATAAAGTTACAGACCATTTGGAGTGTAGTTTGGCACTTGTGAAATTGTCTCAAGTATAAATAAAAAACAAGAAAAAACAGAAGACCAAAAACAAAAGCTATCAGAGAGAGAATAAGTGTGAGAGAGAGA